ATGTGACGGCAAAAGGGGAAGAATTTCCCTACAGCTGCACTGGCCTGAAGATGTTAAATTACCCAAAAGGTAAAAACAAAGAAACAAACAAACAAACAAAAAACCCAGCCATCAGCCATGGCTCTGGCCAACCATTTGACACATGAATCGAGACAGGATGTGGTAATAAAAAATGGAGGCAGGAGGACTTCAGGGTCTTCGGGGGATGAGGCAGTGAGTGTCGCAGGGACTGGGGGTTCCCTGGCCCTTCTGGACCTGTGGATGTGAGCCAGGTGGCTGCCAAGAGGGTCCCCGGAGTCAGCCATGATTCCTTTGTCTTTAGAAACTCCTGAGGGTAAAGGTACCAGCGCTGTGGCATGCAGGTAAAGCTGTTGCCTGTGGTACCAGTATTTCATATGGGAGCCTGTTCAAGTCCAAGCAACTCCTTTCCAATCCAGCTCTCTGGTGACGCACCTGGGAGAGTAGTAGTAAAGGATGGCCCACGTGCTGGGGCGCCTGCACCCACGTGGAAACTCCTGGCTCCTGGCTTCGGATCAGCTCAGTTCCAGCTGTTTGGGAGTACACCAGTAAATGGAAGACCTCTGTGTGTGTGTGTGTGTGTGTGTGTGTGTGTGTAACTCTGTCAAATGAATAAAAAATGTTGGGGCCCAGCGGCTAAAGTTCTCGCCTTGAACATGCTGGGATCCCGTATGGGTGCCAGTTCTAATCCCGGCAGCTCCACTTCCCATCCAGCTCCCTGCTTGTGGCCTGGGAAAGCAGTCGAGGACGGCCCAAAGCCTTGGGAACTTGCACCCGTGTGGGAGACTCAGAAGAAGCTCCTGGCTCTTGGCTTCAGATCAGCATAGCACTGGCCATCGCAGTCACTTGGGGAGTGAATCATCAGACAGAAGATCTTCCTTTCTGTATATCCGACTTTGTAAAAAATAAATAAATAAATCTTTAAAAAATTTTTAATTCCATACTATTTCCTTAAATACCTATTTCTACTTGCCTTTGTGACTTGCAAAACATGTATGATGCTAGGATCTGATTTTCATTTAAAGACTTATTTTTTAATTGGAAATTCAGATTTACAGAGAAAATGAGAGACAAAGATCACCCATCTGCTGGTTCACTCATCAAGTGCCTGCAATGGCTGGAGCTGAGCTAATACAAATCCAGAAGCCAGGAGCTTCTTCCGGGTCTCCACGTGGGTGCAGCATCTCAAGGCTTTGGGCCATCTTTGACTGCTTTCTCAGGCCACAGGCAGGGAGCTGAAAGGAAGTGGAACAGCCAGGACACAAGCCAGCACCCATATGGGATCCAGGTACATGCAAGGTGAGGAATTTAGCCACTAGGCTACCACACCAGGTCCTGAAATTTTAACTTAAAGTGTTTTAAGAAATATACATGGCATTGTGAATATTTATATGGTTGATGGTCTGGTATGGTTCACACCATGTATGATGCTTCTCCTGTTGGCTGGTATATGAGCAATTCCTGTAACCATCAACTCTTTCAACGCGCCTCTCTGATACTGCGCCACAGCTTCTCCAGAGTCAAACCCTAGGAAGGAAACTCCAGGGGAAGATGTGTGACTCATACAGATATGATTTACAATCAAAACCATTTGTGGGGCTGCCACTGTGACATGGCAGTTAAAGCCACCACCTACAACACTGGGAGGTCCAGCAGGTCCACCTCTGATCCAGCTTCTTGCTAATACAAGGCCCAAATGTTTAGGCTCTGCTGGCGTCCGTGTGATGGGTGTGGAAGACAGGAAGGTGTGAAGAGTATGGTTCTATTGCAGGCAGGGCCGCAAGGAACTTCCCGCTGTTTGGCAGGGCCCTGCGGATGTTTCTACAACACCTGAATGCAGCTCTGCCTGCCTTTGCATGGACACCAGACAACCCCATTGAGATTTCTGTAATCTATTTAGGCATTGTCTGCCTCCGTGGAGTTAATGTTTACTACCGATGTGAGCTTGGAAGTTGATGTTGCTTATACTGTTTTAGCCATAGGGCCTTTTATTCTTGCTGTCCCCAGGCATAGTGGGAACCTATGCTTAGGGTTTTCCTCCCCCATTGACCATATGCTAATCCAGGGTGTTCTGTCCCCAGGTGTAAGTGGGAATCTATTCTTTCCCTCTTTCTTTGATCTTTAGGTCCCTCCTTCTGTGAAGCCCTTCCTTCCTTGACTGACTCAAGACTAAACTGTAGAATGAGGATTATGGTAGGAATGTGTTACTGATTGATATGCACCATCTATTGAGAACTTCTTCCTAACCACAGCGCCAGCATGAATAACATCGTGGCCTAAGGTGAAACAAATAGCAGAGTTATCTTTACAAACACCCACTTGACCATGACGTAAAGAGTCTGAGCCAGACTTTGACTGATTTTGTATAAATAAAGTGGACAGCTTTTGTGCGTGGTCCATTATGATGATGAAGTCCTAGTGGTCCGTCTCTCTTTCCTCTTTGCGCCTCATCCACACACCCTTCGCAAGTTCCAAACTCAGCTGGAGCAGCACTCCGGCAAGGCTCCCTTCAACTATATGGGAAACCCAGAAGCTCCTGACTCCTGGCTTTAGACCAGCCCAGGTCCGGCCATTGTGACCACTTGGGAAGTGAACCAGTGGATGGAAGATCTCTTTCCCACGTTCTCCCTATAACTTAGATAAATAAATAATATCGTGGCTGATGTGCCCTTTGTGGAAAGGTTTTAAATTACAGATCCAATGTCTTGTTACAAAATTGTCTGAGTTTTCTATTTCTTGTGATAAGTGATCCCTTTCTATATTCATCCATGTAGGTATTCACATTTGTTGGTGAAAAAGAGCCATCATATCCCTTCTTATCTTTCTAAAATCTACAGCATCAAAGTAAGTTTCTCTGTGCTACTTTTTTTCATTGCTTCTGTTTTCCGTTGCTCTCTGGCCGAGAGCGCATGCGCGGAGTGTCTTCTGTCAGTTCTTCCAGTTCCATTTTCATCCACCTCCCCACCCCCCACTCTGTGTCCTGAAGCTAAGCGCCACAGACCACACCCACAGACCTCCTTCGGGGTCAGCCAACCGAGGCACCAGGAGTTCTTTGCCGGGCCGTGATGGATGGGAGGCGTCCTTCCATTACGTGTGTGAGATCAGGAACGGCCCTTTGGCCTTAGGGTCAGGAACAGGTCTGGCATCATCTCTTCCTGCTCTTCCTAAATCCTGCCCACGGCTTGTAGGCTTTGTAAATAGCTCCCGGCCTAAGCTCTTCTCCAATCACCCGTTTTGAACGCGGCAGGTGCTTTCCGCCAGGGCTCTGAGCAATAGATGCAGCATGATGGAACAGAAAAGGCCCAGGTGTGCACAGCTGGCTGCCAGCCACTGGCAGAGGGGTGGGCTCTTGGGGTAGGCGTGGGGGAACCTCAGCAGCTGCACCCAGGGTAGTTTAGAAAGCAGAATTCCAAGAGGCAAGTTAGAAGGTCGCTGTGATTTCTGTGATGGGAAGATAACATCTTTGCAGCTGTCGGACTGGGCAACAGCCCAAAGCCTGGCAGCACACCGCGCCAACAAGGCCGCCCTCAGGTGGTGCTAGCCTGAACGTAAACTGATAACCCTCTGACAGGCGACCCCACGCGAGTCTATCAGTTCTACACGTTCATAAACCACCGATTCAGGCGTTTCACACCGAGGTGCCGGCCCATGTGCACCATCACACAAACACCAAATAATTGGCGTACAACATTCAAAGGGGCATTTTTTTTTTAACCCTAATGATTACAAATTGGAGGCAAGAAGTAATATTGTGGCTTACGACTGGTAAAGCTACTCCCACGATGTATAAAGACCTGGGAAAGGCATTTGCAATGCTCTGAGTGCTTTGGTCCCTGCCACTTTTGTGGGTCGAGGAGCCTGTCTCAATCCTGGCCACTGTAGCCATCTGCAGAGTAACACAGTAGATGGAAGATCTCTCTCTCTTTCCCTCTGCTTCAAATAAATAATTTTCTTAAGCTTTTTTTTTAAGATTTATTTTTTATTTTTATTTTTTTTATTATAAAGTCAGACATACAGAGAGGAGGAGAGACAGAGAGGAAGAACTTCCATCAGATGATTCACTCCCCAAGTGACCACAACAGCCAGAGCTGCGCCGATCTGAAGACAGGAGCCAGGAACCTCCTCCAGGTCTCCCACACGGGTGCAGGGTCCCAAGGCTTTAGGCCGTTATCAACTGCTTTCCCAAGCCACAAGCAGGGAACTGGATGGGAAGTGGAGCTGCTGGGATTAGAACTGGTGCCCATATGGGATCCCAGCACAACCAAGGCAAGGACTTTAGCCACTAGGCCACCACGCCGGGCCCACCCCAAAAATTTTGATTTGAAAGGCAGAGTCACAGAGTGCTGGTTCATTCTCCAAAGGGCTGCAACAGCCAGAGCTGAGCTGATCCGAAGCCAGGAGCTTCATCTGAGTGACCCTTGAAGGTGCAGATACCCACTCAGCCATCCTCTGCCCTGTATCCAAGCCAGCGCCCAGGAAAGCACTGAAAGTCACGCAGCACTCTACAACGGAGGCGCATGGGGCATGCATCCCTCTCAACCATGTTAACAATCTTAAAAAAACAAATCAATGAGGTAAAATAAATAAACCTTTAAAAAACAACAACTAGGTAGCCACAGCAGTTACTTTGGCCTTAGGGATTGGTATCTTTCACCAGTCTTCGAGCCCCCTCCACCCCAAAATTGTGAATGAAAATGTCGATGAGTGGGTAAGAGTCCAGATGCCCAACAGGCCCTAACAGCGCTGCTTTTGCAAAGTGCCTAAGTCGAATCTTCCACTCCCCAAACCCCGTGAGGGGTGCCCTACACAAGTCTGATAAAATTCCACAAACTCAGGGTTGCACTGCAACTTTCCCCACCTGCATTTGTTCTCAGCGCACACCCGTCGGAGGCCTGCCTCACCCACCCCAGGTCCCTGAAAACCCACTCTGCCATGGCGTTCCGCCCCTACACGGTTCCCAGAGAGAAGACAGCTGGTACATCTCGGATCTGTCAAGAATTTAATGGCAGCCCCTCACAACCTGCAGCCTTAAAGAGTGCAACTCTACGCAGCCGAGTTCTGACATGCCCCTGGGCAGGAGTCCATCCCACAGAGGAAGAGCGAACGAAGCCCGGACCAAGGGCCTAGTCCCACTGGGTCGTTCGCTCCTCTTCTGGAAGAATAGTCCAATTCGGGGAGGCCACATCCCGGGCCAGCCAGTTGAAGTCATCCAGGTCATCCCAGTGATTCCTGCTCTTGTCTAAACCGGAGCCCTGGAAATCCTCAAGGATGCCCGGGTAGCTCCAGGTGTAGGGGGCCACGCAGATCCCGTGGCAGTCCTCCACGATGGCCCTGCTGGTCACGTGCAGGAAGACGCGCGTGTTGGTCGTGCTGTGGACTCGGAGCTGCTGGCAGGCCACGGCCAGCAGGCAGTCACTGCAGTCCTCCAGGAACACGGAGGTGGACACGGGCCCGCAGAGCACCGTGCAGCCGCGGGCCTGGGTCAGCCGCAGCGTGTTGGGATTGCCGTAGAGTCGGACCGTGCAGTGGCTCAGGCCGGTCAGCAGGACATCGCGCTGCCGCAGCTCGTCGCCTCTCATCTCCAGGTCCTGGGACTGCAGGTTGGAGAAGCCGCACACCCAGCTGGAGTCCGGGTCTCCATCCCGGTCCTGCGCGGCCGGCGCGGAGGCCGGCACACCGTCGACTGCGTCCACCCCGGCGGGGACGGCGGGGGCAGCGGCAGCGGGGACGGCAGGGGCAGCGGGGGCAGCGGGGGCCGCGGCGGCGCCTTCCTTCCTCCGCGTCTTGAACGCGAAGCGCTTCTTGGGTTGCAGCTCCTGGCGCCGCTCGGCCAGGGCCGCCTGCAGCCGCGCCATGGCTTCCTGGCCCTGCCGCAGATCGTAAGCGGTGAGGAACCGGACCGAGTCGTTCAGCAGCTTCTGCAGCGCCTGGAGCCGCGAGGCCGCCTCCTCCAGCCGCTCCACCGACCCTCCGGCCTGCTCCAGCAGCTCTTCCACGGCCGCTCGCTCGCGGCCGAAGGAGGCGGCCAAGAACTCGCTCTTCTCCCCTTCGACCTCCTGGTCCTGCCGCTTCTGTTTCCGCCTGCCCGCCTCCAGCTGCCGCTCCTGCTCGCGTCTCTGCAGCCGCTCGGGCACCAGGTGCAGGTCCCGCTGGGACACGGCCGAGTCCCCGTCGCCCACACCGCCGGCCGAGCACTCCATCTTCCCTCCTGTGCTGCCTCTCCGCCCTTCCTGCCTCGCCGCGCGCCCTCCGGGAGGCCTCCCACCAACGCTCCCCGTGATTGGACGGACGCGATGACGTCCAACTCCTCGGCCTTATTTCCTTCCCCTATTGGTCCCCAGGCGTCGGAGGGGGCGGGGCCTTCGGCCAAGAAGGGGGTGGGGAGACAAAGGTCCTTGTGGATGGGTGGGGTGTGAAGCGAAGGGGGGGAGCTTTTTTTTTTTTTCTCTCTTAAAGGGGCAGGACTTCTATCCGGGATTGTGGGGTGAGTTTGCAGCAGCGGCAGCTGCACATGTGGGTTTGTTTATAAGAACAAGGTTAGAAACTCGCAGGCCTCCCCCTCCCCCAGCTCCTCCCTACTACCCCCTTGGCAAGGCCGGAGATCCGCCCGCGCCGGAGTGGGGAAGGCATGTGCGCGTGTGGCGGGTTGGAGTGGGGGCAGGACAGGTAGTGATGAGAAAGATGGAGTGGGGGGGAACGGAGGTTGCACCGCCCGGCCCACGCGCCAGAGGAAGCGGCAGCTGGCACAGCTGGGCTGGGAGCCGCCGGCATGCCTCTGCTGTGCTGTTTTCCTTTGCATCCCCCCATTCTCCCGCGACGCACTCCTGCCGCCCGGCCATCCACGTCCTTCCCTTCCCGATGCCCCCCGCACCCACGGCCGTCCCGGCGCGGACACACTCGGGCTCGGGGCGAGTCTGGAAGCGGATTGCCTGGATTCGGGCTTCCTCAGGCCGCGTCCCGGCCGCCCCCCGCAGCCCCTCAGGGAAGCGGCGACTACCCGGAGCCTGGAGGTGTCGGAGGGTTTGGGCCACCGGAAGTGAAGGAGCCCCGGCTGCAGTCGGGACCCACCCCGGGGCGCTGTGGGGTCGGGTGGGAGCCTGAGGCGGCCGCGACGGGCGTGCCAGAGCCGGCCTGCCTCGCAGGGTCGCTCCTTGCCTCCCCACCCGGCCGCCTGCGTCTGTCACGGGGATTTTCCGGATACTGTCTCCCTGCAAATGTCACCGACTGAGCTACCCGTAGGAGGCAGACAGGAGAGGAAAGGAGAATTAGTGAATGAATCCTGAAGGAAGCCTGGTCCCCCACCCCCCATGTGGACGCCCACTCTCTCTCCCGGCCTTCTTGTTCTAAAACAACACACGCGTACATGCCCGGGGTGGACGGTGTGGCTGCTAAGTCAGCCCCACGTGGTCCAGGCCCTGGGAACGCGGGAGAACCGCCGGGATCCGCTGTGTGGGGTTGTTTCCCTTTAGTTTAGGTGGCCAGGGACAGGGGGAGGCTTTTGTGTTTTCCTCGGAAAAGCTGGGTTTCTCTTGCCAAAGGAGAGAGAGCTGAAGCTGGTGAATGAAAAATAGAACTGATTGCTCATGTCCAGGTCACGTGCTGGCTGCCTTGTTTGATGAGATGTTGATTTAGGTTTAGAAAAGACGTGTTTTACTAGTGAGGAGGGATGGGGCCCTCCTGGGCCTGTCTGGATTTTCTCAGGGGTTGAACCTGCCTCCTGGGGGTTTTATTTGGCCGCAGGGTGGCAGCTGGAGTGAAATGCGGATGGTGTTAGCCAAAATGAATCTGTGTTGGCTGCCTCCCAGGCAGAATTGAATGTCACTTGCACTTCCAGGAGCTTCAGGTCTGCCCATCAGCAGGTTTCTGTCGAGTCCACAAGACTTTGGAAGTTTCTGGGTGTTTTGAGTCAGCTACAGGCACTTGAGTGTCAAATGTGCACAGACCATTGGGTGACCCAGGGGGTTGGGACTGGGTGAAAGACTGATGAGAGGTCAAACTGGGCATGGGCAAGGGTCTCTCTCTCTCTAATTTTTCTCTCTATCTTATTTATTCTTATTGGAAAGGCAAATTTACAGAGAAGGAGAGGCATCCCGTGTGGGTACAGGGTCTCAAGGTTCTGGGCCATCCACCCCTTTCCCAGGGCATTAGCAGGGAACTGAATCGGAAATGGAGCAGCTGGAACGTAAACTCAAGCTTGCAGGTGGAGGACCAGCCAGTTGAACCATCGCACCAGCCCTGGTGATGTGGTTGGTCTTGGTGAAGCTGTGGCTTGGCAGTCTCCATAGGCTCCCTGGACTACAGCAGACCTGAGGTCAAGTCACAGACGGACCTGAGTTCAAAAGAAGTGGGAAGGCTGTGAAACCCTCTGCCTGGCTAGACTGTATTTGCGCCCTCTTTCTGATGGGGGGGAGGGTTGGATTGGACATGCTTCCCTGAAGTAGATCCCAGCCCTTTGGAGATGCCTGCAGAATACCCACGGCAAACAGCTAGCAGCCAGGAGTGAGGCTACTGCAAAATGATGGTATTAAAGGTGCCATGGGCTTTGACAAGTCTCGCACAACACTTTAGATCCTTGATGGTCCTATTTGTTCGATTTACCTTTTTTTTCCCCTTTCTTTTTAAGGATTTTATTTACTTGAAAGATTCGTAGAGAGGGGGAGAGCCTGGGAGAGAGATTTGTCATCTGCTGATTCACTTCCCAAATGGCGTCCATGGCCCGGGTTGGGCCCTGCCAAAACCAAGGAGCCAGGAACTGCGTCCTGGTCTCCCACATGGGTGGCAAGGGCCCAGGTACTTAAGCCACCTTCCACTGTTTCCCAGGTACATATAGCAGGGAGCCCAGTGAGAGGCAGAGCAACAAGGACTCAAACCAGTGCTGTGAAATGAGATTCCAGCTTCACAGGCTAACACGCTGAACCACAACTCTAGCTCCTGGAGTTATTTTATTTTATTTCTTTCTTAAATTTTATTTTCAAATGAAAGTAATTTTATTTGAAAAAAAAAATCAGTAGTTTCACATTATGTCCCTTAAAACACTCTTAATGTGTAGGTTCTTTCCTTTCTCAGTTGTTCTGTTAAGGAAACCATCATTTGGTCAGTAAACTTTTTAGAGAACAGGTTTTTTTGTGTGTGTGAGGTAGCCAAAGTTTTGTTTGTTTGTTTGTTTTTTGTTTTTAAAGAGTTATTTTATTTTTATTGGAAAGGCAGATATACAGAGAGGAGGAGAGACAGAGAGGAAGATCTTCTGTCCGATGATTCACTCCCAAAGTGATCGCAATGGCCAGTGTTACACCGATCTGAAGCCAGGAGCCAGGAGTTACTTCCAGGTCTCCCATGTAGGTGCAGGGTCCCAAGGCTTTGGCTGTCCTTGACTGCTTTCCCGGGCCACAAACAGGGAGCTGGATGGGAAGTGGAGCTGCTAGAACCAGCACTCATATAGAGTCTCAGCGCATTCAAGGCGAGGACTTTAGCTGCTAGGCCATGGCGCTGGGCCCTACAACCCTTTTATCTCTGAGAACCACCCGGGGCTCCTGGCTGTTGTTCCGATGTCACCAGACTCTATGAGGAGGGTATTGGGCTGCTTCAATCCCATGTGGGAAATCCAATCAGAAATGATTGACCTCAGAGCTCTCAACCTACGAGGGCACTCAAATTCTCTGATTTCCGTGGTAGTCAGGTGCCGGAGTCCAGCTCCAGCTGAGTTTGGAACTCGTGAAGGGTGCGTGGATGAGGCGCAAAGAGGAAAGAAAGAGACGGACCACTAGGACTTCATGATCATAATGGACAATGCGGGAAAGCTGTCCGCTTTATTTATACAAAATCAGTCAAATTCTGGCTCAGACTTTTTACGTCATGAACAAGTGGGTGTTTCTAAGGATAATTCTGCCATTAGTTTTACCTAGAAACAATAGAAGTTCCTGCTAGGATTCTTATCCTACAACTCAATCTTGTATCACAAAGAAAAGGAGAACTTAAAGATCAAGGAAAGAATGAAAGCCTAAATACAGGTCCCTTGATTAGCAAAGGTTCAATGGGGACAGCCAAGACAATAGGAATGATAAAGGGCCCCATTTGCAAGACATTGACCTCCAACCTCAGGCTGAGCAAAAGGTTAACCTTGCAGTAGCAAATGCCAGGATGGATTAGAATTCTTCCGCAGGGTGGTCCGGTGTCCATGCAAAAGAAGGTGGAGCTGCATTCAGGTGGTTGTAGAGACATCTGCCGGGTGGGCCCTGCCAAACAGCGGGAAATTCCTTGCGGCCCTGCCTGCAATGGAACACTCTTCACCCCCTCATGTCCCCCACATCTACTGCACGGACCCGTCAGTCAGGATATGGTCCTTGGTGTCCATACTGACAATCCTAGATGGCATATCCACTGCTGCTGCAGTGAGAGCACTTGGGAGACCTTTGGGGGTCAAACTGCTCCACTCTGGGATCCCCTCCTGCTCTGTGCACATTATCTAATTTAAGAGGCTGTTGGGGTTGTTCTTCAAGTTTCTTTAGTTTTTCTAGTGTATAAGGCAGTTAAGAATCTGTTATCTGGGCCCGGCATGATAGCGTAGTGGTTAAAGTCTTCACCTTGTACACCCAAGATCCCATATGGGTGCTGGTTCTAATCCCAGCAGCCCCGCTTCCCTCCAGCTCCCTACATGTGACCTGGGAAAGCAGTCCAGGATGGCCCAAAGCCTTGGGACCCTGCACCCACATGGGAGACCCAGAAGAGCTCCTGGCTCCTGGCTTCAGATTGGCTCAGCTCCAGCCATTGTGACTGCTTGGGGAGTGAATCATCAGATGGAAGGCCTTCCTCTCTGTCTTTCCTCCTCTCTGTATATCTGCCTTTCCAATAAAAATAGATAACTCTTTAAAAAAAAAGAATCTGTTACCTATAAATCACCTATTATAATCTTAATAAATTATACTTAAAGTCTTCTTCAAACATTCTAAGAAGGTGGAAGATTTTTCTGCACTCCTGACATTTCGTGTAACCAAAAGAATATTAGAAACAAACCTCGTTTTTCAGTGCTTAAAGGCAGTTCCACTGGGGATTCCGTCTTCTCCAGGGACAGCGTTGTATTCAAGGGAGTTGCTGCACTTCCAAAGCCAGGTGAGCATGGGGAACCCACAGTTTTTCAGAGGATCCATCAGGAAATTCTAAAGATAAGAGCATAACCTCTTTCTGTGGGGGTCTCCGTTGCACTTTTCTTCTTTCAAGTT